GATTCTTGAGAGGTTGATATTGGTCTGATTCTTGAGAGGTTGATATTGGTCTGATTCTTGAGAGGTTGATATTAAGTAGCTTTTTTAACAAATTGAAAAGATTATATGATTACATTTCGAACATTTCAACTTCAACTTTGACAATAAACTGAGGTCAAGAATCAATTACCAAATTGAAATCGATTATTGAAAACAGGCTACTGATCAAAAATTTTAATGAAGAAATCTTCTGATTTCCGTCTATTGATGTATATGGTTGTATAAATTTGTCATTTATTGATATCTGGTTCATAGAATTTCTAAAATATATAATCATCACATATAATCTGATGTGACTTGTCCAATTACCATGTAGCAGATCATGTTGAAAAAAACAAAGTTAACTGACTTTTAATCATTTACAAAATTCGATAATCAAAATTATATATTGATTATTTTTGCCCAGTCCTAAGTAGTCGCATGATCATAAGTATATTTCATAGATTTGTGTTAGTGTACATATTATTATTTTTATAACTGTTGTTTTTACACAGTGCTTTGTATTTATTTTAGTTTATTTTATTATTTGAATTAAAACTTTGTTAATTTATCACATTTTCTTATTCCTGTGGCACATTGAGCAGTAATTACTTATAGATTTATTGCTAATGGATAAACTGTCATAATAGTAAAATTCAATTCTTTTCTCGTCCTTATTAGCCAAGACAGCTGCAATCAAGTATACTTACAAATCCATTGCATTTCATGCAAACTAATCAAATCTTCGAGAAAAAAAAATGTAAGGATATAAAAAGATTAAATTCAACAGGAGAAAAAAAGTGGTAAATATTAGCAACTCCCACCTGTCATAAACTCGATACATAAAACTTTCAAAAAAATATTTCAACTTAATTTGCTTGAATATAATCTGCAAATACACAATTCATGACAGACTTATTGAAATCACCCAAGGATAAATCTGATCAAAAATCTTGTAAAAAACGTAATTTTTATTCTACAAAGCAGAAGTCTAAAACAAATTTGACAACTTGATGAAATTGATCACAATCAAAACTAAACCTTTTGAAATATAAAATACAAGTTATTGCCGTTATTCTTACAAATGTGTTTGATTTTTAACTTGTGATGGCACAGTTTGTGATGGATTTGGGTATAAGTTGAATATTTCCTGGTGTCTATGTTTGCTATTTTCTAACAAATATTCAATTTCAAACAAAGCTATCAGTGGGCGTATATTACTTTGCCTGGCAAGTTATCTTATAATAAATATTCAATAACAACTATCTTTCGATTACCCCATTACTGTTTTAGACACTGTACTAAGTATGCAAAGACCATTATAACGAATTACTACTTCAAGCAGTTGTTTAGTAAGCATTCTTACATCGTCGCTCGTTTTAACGAAGTCTTATTTTAGAGATTTGACTAAAGGTGACCTTAATTAGATTACAAATTCGTTTCGTTTAATCTGATATCACTTTCAAAATTTTTTTAAAAAATCTTTATTGTGGGACTTTGCTGAAAAGCAAAGTCCTAGTTTGTTATCGAAATGTCCATTCACACCTTCCCGAGCTTAGACTGCAGTAGTTGTAGCAATGTTTCAAATTTCATAGACCTTCTATATAGGTGACGATGTGCATAAATATAAATTGGAACATTGTTGCAAAACCGGAAGTGCCACAGTTCAACATGTGCAAAAAGTCGAAAATCGGCTCTAGAAGGCGCATTTTTGCATCGATTTTCTTCGGGTTTTCATTTTTACAATCTACCTGTAATCTCTGACCTGATAGCACTTGAAAAATTACGAAATTCGAAAATTCGTCGCTCACTTTTTTCGATCAAAGTTTTCGATTTTTTTGCAACTTTTTTGCTTTTGCATCGATTGATCTGAAATTTTAAATGCAAAGAGATTTCACTAATGTTAATAATATGATACAGTCAAATTTTGTACGTCATTTCCGATTTTCAACAGGAAAGCGACTGAACTTCAAATCTACTTCCGGTTGAATAACTTCCGGTGTAATTTATGTAGGTCAACAAAATTTGGCTGATCTTTGGCAAATAAAATTTTATGGCCGATTTTAAAATAAAATCCAGAACGGAAGTGATACTTTGGCCGCCATATTGAAAAAACACACTTTTGTAAAACTCAAAATGGGGCCTTAGGGTAAAAGTTGATATGCTCAAATTTGATGTGAATGTATTCTGCAATCGATTGCGCAAAAAACATTGGGAGCCGAATTTTGAATTTCGCTTTTGCTTTTTTGCAACTTCCGGTTGAAACTTTTTAAAGCTTTAAACGATCACACCGTGTGACCTTGACCTTTGATGACCTTGACCTTCATAGGGTCAAAGGTCATTGACCTTGGCTATCATTTGATACTTTGACCTTTGACCTCCGACATGTACTTCCGGTTTTTTAGCTATCCGTAAAAAGCCAAATTCGCAACTCTGGACTGCTCTAGCACGTGACCTAATTAACCTAGAGGGTTAATTTTTTCGGTTTCCTAATGTGCTTCTTGAGCTTGGTATATGTATGTCTTATGATCTATTTGATGTAGAACCTTGATATTTGGAATACAAGTAGACACTTTGAATATGAATTCACCTATGACAAAAAAATCTTATGTGGGCGTGGCACATCCGGTTTGAATTACTAATTGTTTACATTTAGAGGCAAGGGCATAACTCGCATAGGATGCGTTTGTTCAAAAAGGGACTTTTGACACAATTACCTCATCCTTTTGGCCAGTTTGTGTTAACAGCACAGTTGTTTCAGCCTTATAGTTCCAAAAAAGGAACGGGTTTTAACATTTGGATTTTTTCATTTTTCGATTTTGACCTTTGTTGACGTTTGTTGACCTATATCTTTTGACCTATATTATGTAGGAGCTTGACATTTCGAACATAACGTAACATTCTGAATATCAATTAACCTATGCAAAAGAAATTGAAGTGGGTGTGGCACATCCGGGTTAAATTACTCATTATTGACATTTTTGGCCAGGGGCATAACTCGCAAAGGATACATTTGTTCAAAATGGAACTTTGCATACAATTATCTCATATATTGAGCCACTTTGTCTTAAAAATTCGGTTGTTTCCGCTTCATAGTTCAAAAAAAGGAACAGGTTTTGGAAATTCAAAATTTTCAATTTTTGACCTTGACCTTTGTTGACCTTGACCTTTGTAGGATCAAACGTCATTGGCATTGGCTATCTATTTATACTTTTATATTTGCTTTCTTATGTCAACTTCCGGTTTTATGGTCGTGTGCAATTAGAAATTTTGATGACGGATATCTCTTGATCTTGACCTTTTTAGACCTTCTCCTTTACAAGATCAAAGGTCATTGACCTTGGCTATCTGCTGATACTTTCATTTGTGAGGTCTGAAGTCTACTTCCGGTATTAGAATCTTCTAAAAAATAAAAAATTATCAACTTTAGACTTGTTCTTGCGCTTGACCTAATTATCGTCGATGGTTGATTTTTTCAGGGTCTTTAGCAAATTGCTACATTTGCAAAGTCCCATTTGTGCCACGAGTGGCTCTAGTTTATAATTGATATAATTCCTCAAATGAATGATTCATTTGCTGCAAATTGTCATTTTGGATGTCGTGTTTCGATTTCGGTTCGGATCGTTTATATCCATAGTCTCCATTGTAATCCAACTAGTTTTCTACTCAAGTTCTGGTAGCACTACGAATTATTATTTCAAGAATTGGACTAGGGATTACCAATATATAATTTTGTTAGAACGAAATGTTTATTAAACATGGAATGGCCTATATACCATATATAACTCATTATTAGTTTTAAGGGGCAGTATGCAAAACATAGTTTTGGTGTTTGGCTGTATAATGACTCGATATTATAAGTTAAACCTTTAGAATAGTTAGGAGACATATTTCTCTACAATTAGGCATTTATTTTACTGAAATCTGTATAGTAGTTTTGTAACAGCTTCTATGAAGCATAATTTAGCCTACGTCTGAACTTATGTTTAGGCATTGAATAATTATTGGTTTGGTTTTTTTTGTTTAAAACTTTCAGGTACGTTAAGGGACACATTTCTCTAGATTTTGGTGTATAGTTTAAACAAATTTTAGCAAACATATTTCGACCTACAAAAAAAACGGAATGCCCCTTTAAGTTTGATAACAGATGGGACTAGGTATGACCAATACAAAATGGATTGTTATAAAGAATTATCATTTTGGGAATGGCACTAGGTATGACCAATACAAAATGGATTGTTATAACAAGGCATGACCTATAAACAATGGATGGTTATAACGAATTGTTATTTTAGGTATTGCACTAGGTATGACCTATGCACCATCGATAGTTATAACGAATTGTTATTTTAGGAATTGGACTAGGCATGACCTATAAACAATGGATAGTTATAACGAATTGTTATTTTAGGAATTGGACTAGGCATGACCTATACACCATCGATAGTTATAACGAATTACTATTTCCACAAGAAGAGAAATGTAATGACTGGTGTAGTAATGGCAGCTGCTGGCGGGGGTATTTTTATTTCACCACTATTAACAAGGTAATGTGGGTACGGGGTCAATTTTTATTTGGACCTAACTTTTTATTTACAAAATTCACAATCTTGTCTCTGAAATTTAGGGTATCCAAAAGTTGAAAGTCTTGTTCATATAGTCTCTGACACCAAGACATCTTCCATTGCAGCTGTGTGTAGATGAAGTGGGACATAATGATCGATTCTATTCTATACCCATGACACCATCAAAACAAAAAGTCTCTTAAAATGACGACTAGTTAAAATAACTTTCAGAAATAAATAATTATGGATACAAAGTTGAACAAAGAATTCATGGCTTTTTCGCCCTGGATGCTAAATGATCACAAGTTTTACCCCACTTAAGTCTAGGAGTTATCATTAGACCCGAATACTTATACATGGAAACACTTTCAATTGCCTCCCCTTGATAGTACCATTTTTCATTATACTTTACAATGCCTCCTCGACTAAATACTACTACTTTGGTTTTGGCCATATTAATTTTCATTCCATATCTCTGACAAAATTTATTAATGCAATCAATTTGTTTTTATAATCTACCTACAGTGTCCGCCAGTGCTGTCATATCATCTGCATACAAAAGTGATGAAATATTCTGAACATCTTCATTTACATATATACCCTTACATTCGTCATCATTTAACATCTCTAGTAATTCATTTAAGAAAAAGGTAAATGATATTGGACTGATCATACAACCTTGTCTTGTTCCAACTGTGCAATCAAAGTAATCTGATAAGGACAATTTATCTGTTTGAACACACGATTTTAATTGACCATACATTGATTAAAATTACCTTAAAAATCTTCGGGTTCATATTATTCTTTAACAATACATATCTTAGAAGATGATGTTTTATACTATAAAATGCTTTAGAAAATCAATAAATAAACAGAAAAATCGGCCTTTAGACCTGGATAGGTATTTCTGAATCAGACTCTGCAATATAAAAATATCAATTGTGCTGTAACCGCGCCTATAACCTGCTTGAGCTTCATAAAATTTTCCTGTAGCATCCCCCCACTCAATTAGCCTGTTATTTAATATTTTTGTAAATAGCTTCCCGACAACTGACAGTAAGTAAATTCCTCTTTAACACCCAGGGTCCTCCTTACTTCCTTGCTTATGAAGAGGAAATAATATTAAAACACTATCAACCCGATCGTCATGCCAGTAATATTAAAGCACTATCAACCTGATCATCATGTCAATGATATTAAAACACTATCAACCCGATCGTCATGCCAGTAATATTAAAACACTATCAATCTGATCATCATACCAATAATATTAAAACACTATCAACCCGATCGTCATGCCAGTAATATTAAAACACTACCAACCCGATCGTCATGCCAGTAATATTAAAACACTATCAATCTGATCATCATACCAATAATATTAAAGCACTATCAGCCTGGCCAGTAATATTAAAGCACTATCAACCTGATCGGCCATGCCAATAATAATAAAACACTATCAACCCGATCGTCATGCCAGTGATATTAAAGCACTATCAACCTGATCGCCATGCCAATAATAGTAAAACACTATCAACCCGATCGTCATGCCAATAATATTAAAACACTATCAACCCGATCGTCATGTCAATAATATTAAAGCACTATCAGCTGGTCGTCATACCAGTAATATTAAAACTAAAACACTATCAGCCTGATCGTCATGCCAGTAATATTAAAGCACTATCAACCTGATCGCCATGCTAATAATAATAAAACACTATCAATCTGATCGTCATGCAAATAGTATTAAAGCATTATCAATGTGAAAGTCATACCAGTAATATTAAAGCACTGTCAACCTGGTCGTTTTCTGAAACAGTGTTTTTATTTTTCTTTTTTTTGTTGAAAAGTATCGATATGCTTTGAGTGTCTCTTACTTTGTTACAGATATTTACTAGATGTGTATAGTTGGAGAGAAACACTCGTAATATTTGCTGGAGTGTCAATACAAATGTGTATATTTGGAGCCTTAATGTTTCCCCTCCACGAGAAACCAAAAGAATCGTGTATAACCAGTAATCTTCCTTGTATTAAAACCGGAAGTGAGGACGATAGCGGCTCAACCGAGAACAAGCCAGTTTTTAATCCGCTTGTGAAGGAAAATGGTGACTCCAAACCAGCGGGTAGCTTGGAACACATCAAACAATCCAACCCCTTGTTAAAACCACAAAATGACTTTAGTTTTACAGATTCTAGTAACTCGTTTGTGTCCAGAAAATCCAAATGGAAAAACTCAAATTGTTCTATTTTATTTAATAGTCAACTTTTTCTCTCTGACCACAAAAGTTTACATTCAATACAGAACACTGGCGACGAATCAAATTTGGGAACAAATCTGGTTGATTCTAACAAAAGTGATTTTCTTTGGAGTAAACCATTCTTAGCAATCTGTTTCAATTTATTTTTAACGAACGCTATGTATGGTGGCATTTTTATTCATTATCCTTTATGGTGTCAAACTCAAGGAGCCACTGAAAGCGAAGTGTCCTTCTTCTTAGCTTTTCATGGACCCGGTGTCGCGATATCGCGATTACTTGTTGGCATGTTTGCAAATGTCAGGAACATTGACTATCTTTCCATATATGGTGGTCTGCGGATGTTTGGTGGTGTGTTGATTTGTTTAATACCTCTTTATGGATATAGTCAGACTATAGGAGCTACCGTAATGATAATAACTGCACTTTATATCGCTGGCTTAGACTCTTTAAATGCTGGGGTGACAATCGACTGTGTAGGTTTGGATCAGCTGGCGTCAGCGCTTGGTGTGGAGATGGTCTGTGCTGGACTTGGGTATTTAGTTATGCCTCCAATTGTTGGTAGGTGTTCAAGGATTTCGAAATAGGTTTATTGTTTGCCTGTTTGGGATGAATCACTCCGGTTCCCATACGTCGTCTGTGGTTAGTATTATTCAAGAAAACTTGACCCGATTATAACGCCACTATGGACATACGGATTTGCTTGAATAGTATTTACAATAATGACGTCAAGATCTGGTCATTTTTCTAGAATTTTGGGGAGCCACAGACGTCGGATGATTGTTATCGGAATTGTGTAAATGAGAACTATAGGTGTCCCAGATATCAATACCAAGCTAGAATGTATCTTGTAGTTATATTTTTTTGTGCAGAAAATATGATCGTTTGTAAAATACCGTCATAGTACGAACTACATGGGAAATCAACTGTGTGGGCGTCGAGCAATCATTGTGAACATTGTGGTTACTATCGAAAAACACATCGGGACGATATTGAAAATACTGCTGATAGTTTCACTAAATATGAACTAGTTTCTTCCTCATATACTTACCAATATGGGTTTTATATATTTACAGGTAGTATAGTAGATATGACTGGTACATATCAATATACTATGTATATGTCAGGTTAGTAAATTTTACTCATTTCATGTGTGGGACTGAAGGGAACTTTAATATTGAAGATTATTGGTGTCAAACTTATCTCAATCTGTGTTTAACCTTACTCAAAATCACTGGAGACATGTTGACCAAGTGAGGGTTCGGCACATTCTCTAGACGAAAAGTACAAGATCAGCAATTTCCTTTCCTCAGCTATATTTTACCTTGTAGTAGTAAGTTATTTAGATCGTTACGTTTAGCTTTAAAGAACTGTAGGCTTAATGCACGGAGTTTCCACGTGACGATAATAGGGTTATTTACCTTGTATTATTTCAGGCGGTGTTGTGATAGCGGCTTCAATAGTGTGTTTCTCTATTCCATTATTAAAACCTAGAGGCTCGCCAATAATTGGTTACCATCCTGAACACGGACCAATAGAAATACAGATTGAAAACACTGTTTGAAAGAACCTGCTCAACACATATTTTTCTTCGTGCTCCATACTTTACATGTACATTGGAAGGGTGGATTTTTTTAGCAGTTATTCTGAAGGTTTTACCTGAAAATATTGGACTGGTAACGCCTGACACCTAAACTAGTTTGATCGTTTGCACATGTACTTTTAATACATTCAGCTTTCTTTATAAAGCCTTTTTAAAACAGATTCAACTTAATCAAGTACAAGATACATAATTGTACATGTAAATAGCATACTTTTGAAAAAAAATAAGTATAATTTACGATGTTATTGATACTAATAATTTTTCATACTGCCCCATTTTTTTCACCAATCATACTTTAGTCTCAGAAACAGGAATTGTTTAGCCAAGCCAATCAGTTATTGTGTTAAAAGCTCACCGTCGAAATTTGAGCCTCCAATTCTTTGTCCAGAATTTCGTGTTTTAACATGGAAAGAGATGGCAAATGAATTAGTGAAGCGAGTCTATCATTCTAGTATTCTTTTTCACTGAAACTCTGTAATATAGATCTAAAAGGCCAACATTGCCTCAGTGTTTTGATAGCGCATAAGGGTAAGCATATCCTCAATTCTAATAGTATGCAATTTTTCTTCCGCGTATATGACATTCTGTGTTAGGTCGGAAATTCGTCCCAAGTGAGTCGATCTCCGTCCTGTTACCGCTCCTAAAATGCATCGGGATCTCGGGATTTCTTAAATTCGTTAAGAATCAATTACCAGGTGTCTGCCTCTATTCTAGCCTCCGGTAGTTATTTTGACATTTATCGGCTATCAAAGGGTGGAATAGAGGCAGATATAGTCAGAAAGGATTTTCATCTTATATGCAAATCAGAGACAGTTCACAAACCAGATTCAACTGGATGTATATATAATTATACCATATATCTATACTTACCAAGTATAATAATATTCAGTTTGAATAACCAATCAATTTATAAACTTTATCGAAATAAAAAATCATAATTATCACCAACTAATTCAAACCACCAAAACATTTCCAGAAAGAATAAAGAATCATTAAGCAGCAAAAAATCACACAATACCACCAAATGCCCGGGACTTTCAGTTTTAATAATGTCAATTAGATTTTATCTTCATAAAAACTTTTTAACATGTATCTTTTGTATGCCAAGAGGTTAGTATAGCGCCTTCGAGTGATCACATTAGAGCAATATGAGCGCTAAGCAAAGTTCAATAATGTTAATCTTAATTTTTAATCCAATTTATATTCTCGAACTTGGACAATAAGAACATAATATTGAATCCAGTGGATTTACCTGGTGTTACTTTGCTTGAAGGTATTGTCAAGGCAGTGCTTCTCAACCAGGGACACTATGCACCCCAGGGGCGAAATTCTCCGGGTGGAAATTGGTATGAGGGGGGATTGGCGTGAATTATACACAAAGGGAGAATTTTGTGAATAGGAGGGAATTTAAGCAAAAAGCTCCAAAAATGAACTCACTGAGCTTCAGAAAGACCCATCAACAGGATTTATCCACAAAGCAAATCACCAGTTCATGTGGCTTGGCAAAAAAATTGTCGAAAATTCTTCAAATTTCGAGTTGCATAAGCTCAAACCATGCCATAACCTTGTCCCCACGTCGACGTCGTGGAGTGTGCACTTAGCATACAAGATATCTTGACAAAAAAACAAATCATTGGTATGTTTTTCTTTAAGTATAAGGTTGGAAACAATACCCAACGTTCAGGTTTTTTTTGTATAGGCCAAACAATATTTATTTACATAATAGGATTAGGGAACAGACTTTCGCCCATAGTACCCTCTCCTACGTTCAGGTATATGTGGATTTATATTGGTGTCGCCCGTGTCCATCTACAATTAGCATATGAATGAGACAGTATTATAGGTATATATCCACATGATCTTGGACAAGTTAGAATTTGAGCATATTGACGACAGCCCATGATATACTAAAAGTTAAATGGGTACGTGGGCGTATGTTGCTTGGCAACCGCTTATTTTTTTTGTGGTAATTTGATGTTTTAATGTGCCAGGGGTGAATGGTGGAAAAAAAAATTCTCAAGTCAGGAAATGGATCATAGATGCACTGGTCTAGAGGGTAGTTGCAAATGAAATTTTAAAATTGATCTTTCAACCTGGATAGAGGTAAATTTTGGGGGAGAATTAGGTGCTTTGAAGTCTAACAAATGTGTTTGGAACAATTATAAATTAAGTCGTTATTTTCAGTCAGACTATATACTCTGACATGAGAAAGATTTCATGGAAAACCTACGAGAACATCACGAAATTGTAAGGATCTATTGGGGGAAGGGGGTAATGCAATCAACCAGGATCCTTAAAGGGGTGAGAGGAAGAAAAAGGTTGAAAACTCCTGGTATATATCAGAGCTAATGGGGATCTAAAAAAATTTTATTTAGATTTCAATTCATCAATGACGTCAACGACATCATATTTTGGTTTTATAACCTACAACAATACTGTAAATGTAGGTTCTATTTAATTTCACTGATAGAGGTGGTGACCTATCAAAATAAATTTGTTTTGAATTAACTGTATCCAAAAATATTCGAAATTTTAATTTCCTGAATAATCGACATATTTGATACTGATGACTTTGGTGTTTGCACTGGTAGACTATCATTTGGTCATTTTGAATTAAAATAATGAACAAGTTTAAAGCTGTTATGTATTTCTGGGCTATTTATATAGCTTGGGCCTTTGCTATAGCCACGTCATATAACACTTACAGTTTAAAGGGACATTACGCTTTTTTGTAGTTCGAAAAAAAAATTGTGCTCAAATTTGTGAAAAATATACACCAAAATCTAGAGAAATGTGCCCTTTAACGTATCTTAAAGTTTTAACTAAAAAAATCCAGGCGTTAATTTAAAGGTAAAGTTTTAAAGTTTGTTATGATTCTTGGAAGCAATTAGAAAACTATTGTATGGATGTTTAAGGAATGAATGTTCATCTTGTTATCGTTATGGGGAAATAAACGCTGGTTTATCATGTGACAAGACAAATGACCCGGCGAAGCGGGTCTTGTACGTCTTGTCACATGACAAACCTGCGTTTATTTACCCATGTATTCATACGCCTTATTGTCACGTGACAAACTACAGTTATTGGAAACTAATGAGTGATAGTAAGAATGTAAATATGAGTAAAATAAACGCCTATTTGTAGAGAAATATGTCTCTGATGTATTCCTAAAGGTTTCAACTAATAATATCGAGCTATTACAAAGCCAAACGCCAAAACTAATTTAACAATTAGTGCGCCCTTTTTAAACAAATTCAGTTTGTTGAAGAAGATACATAGATATGAATAGCACGCTTTAGAAGTATTTGCAAGTTTAATTTACGACGTGTATGATAATGAAAACTTTTTACAAAAAAACGGAATACCTCTTTAAAAGGAATTGTAAGAACCACAAACGTCTGACTGAAAATTTGCATTGCGTATGTCGGTGCTATATGTGTTCCGATACACACTGATAGTAAAAAAAAACTCTTTACAATACCTTTAACGTTCATGTGAATAATCTGGTCAAATTTGACCTCTGTGGACGGTCTACTGTTTAGTTTAGTGATAATAAGGTAAATAAAACAATGATAGGGTTAGAGAGCGTGGTAGTGAATAAATTAGATAAAAAATTTCCCTGTGAGTTTTAATAATATATGTTAAGTTCAAATTTCCTGTACAAATATCCATTATAATACCTTTGGCCGACATATTTGCAGGACTTAAATACTTGTATTAAGTCTGGAACTTTTGTTATTCGAATATACATGTGTAGAAATAAGACTCAGGCCACACAAGGAGCTCGACAATCGAATCATTAAACCAAATCTTACGATTGACTACAAATTTACTATGCCGACCCCACCGGAAGTCATTGATTGAAAATAAAAACATTGTTGAAAACTAGAGCTGTCATAAATCAAACCAAAATAATTGAATTTTGATGAATAAAGGATGTATACCATCTTGAAAGAGAATAGACATTCTTGTTTGGTCATATCGTGAACAGTGTAGTGTTGATGTCATCTATAAATCCTTAATAGTTTTGATCCCGTTATATGAAATTTTGCAACATCAAAGTAAACAAAATACGTGGTCCCATTAAACTATCTCGATATGTGGAGCTTGATGTTACATCTATTGATGGTTAATCGTTGAATACATTTTCGAGTCAAATACATTTCAAAATGACTGATTTATATTGGACAGGAATATATTTGGAAGAACTGTCTCGGGGAGGAATGAGCTCACTGAGGTTACACGAAAGTACATGAAAGTATATGACATTTGAATTAACTTGATAAGTACATGTATTTAAGATAATCGTAAACAACAGGTTTTCTATTTAAGTGCTCTGTATTCCTGATATCATTGTACTTTTATTACAAAATCAATAAATCGATACTGACCACCAGGCTTAAGTACATTTTTGAATGTGGCCGTGATAGAATCTATTATGTTGTTTTTCCTTTCAAGGCCATTAGAGGCAGAGTCTTCTTAAAGTAAACAAAATGAAAAACACCTTCGAATTTGCCAATATTACAAATTTCACAACGTGTTATTCTTTGTTTAATTTTAAAGGACAATAGCGGCTTTAGTAATTTTTGTCTTGTTAATATCACGTTACCTTTGAACTTTAGACTGTGCACGCAGTTTAAATGGCCGAAATCAGTTTCGTTTAAAAAAAATTATATTGATGGAACCGTAGACGTGACATAAATGGTGCAGGTAGAAATGATGATATGGCTGAACTACAAAAATATTCCAAAGATATCTGGGTTTTGCAGATTCGAGGTATCTAAATGGGTTTTTAAAAAACGCATCAGTGGAGATGCGGATAGTTTCCATTTTACATGGTCTATTTTTTTCTGTTTCTTCACCAGCAGACATCTGTCCACATAGCTATCAGAGGCTAAAATAAAGACAGATGTTTTGGTTTATAGCGGCCCATATTCCTTATTTGCTGCTTATTTGGAAAGTTTAACAAAGGTACGAGCATTTATGTGGTACCTCTCTTTTAAATGTAATAATGTCATAACACTGATTGTGGTAATGTACTCGAATCTGGTAACACTTATAGTTACACGGATTGTGGTAATTGTTATATACTTACAACATCTTATAAGGTAACACTTAAACTATTATTGTTATAACATTGCTATACTTACAAGCTCTAATTTGGTTAAACTAATAATACTATAGTGAAAAATGATACCATGTTATAACTTCTGATATAGAACAACTAAGATTTTTGCAAAAGTAAATAATGTGTTAACGGGTTGTGATAATTGTTGTACATAAGATAAATGGTTTATTGATTTCACTATTTATACTTACTTTACAGCACTTACTATTGTAGAAATGACAAATAGTGTGACCTTTTTCTATCTGTGAATATCTGGTTATCGTAAAGATAACAGATAATACGACATATTCAAATTGTCTCTCACATTTAGTCCTTATCATTCTGTGTCTTTGTTTGAAAATTGGACTGAGAATTGAAGTAGTATTTAATGATACAAAAGATGTTTATACCAGATGGGAAATGATTGACCCATACTGGATGTGTCAGAAAGGTGCTTTGAGAGATTCTGAGTGACATGACAGTCTTATCCCAGTAAAAATGTTTAGACAATACTTCTGTTTCTGTTTAAATTTTATCAATATTACTAATAAAACCCGTTATCTTGCGTGTACGTTAACTCTAGCAGAAGCAGGTCACAATGAAAATTGAGCATTCCCTTCTTCACCAGCAACATCTGCCACATTAATTACTGTAATAAAGAATATGTGCAGTGTACCGGGCGTGTAAGCAAAAAGAAAATATACAAGAAAAATAATAGATTTTTATTTCACACAATAACATATTTTTCTTATTTTCGAATCACTCACGCAGTCAGCGTCATGGCCATATAAATTAATACGACTAATATCTCCCGCCATACTGAATTCACCAGAAGTCTCTTCATATTTCACTGTAGCCTCGAACTCCCCTGCACCAGGGGTCAATAACACGGATACCTGTAAAATCGGAATTGATTTCACAGAATCAGTGTACGCCACAACTCTGTTAATAACATCATTCTTACTTTCTGCAAAACGTAAAAGTTTGTCATTGTTTTCCATAATTTGGACAGATTTTATAGTTTTTAAAGACAGAGGCTCACATAAAGGATATTTTTTTAAATAGTTATTTATCACTTGGATTAAAAAGTTCACACTTTTTACTGCTAAGGGATTATCTGTAGGTAATGAAGTTTGAGCCATACACACACACCAATGTGGTAAGATACCCGAGTTTTCACAAGTCCTTGATTCAGGGATGATATTAAACAAACTAATTCCTCTTTGCTTGGGGTCTACTTTAGCATTGGATGTTCCATTAAAATATAAAATATTTTTCAACGTAGCGTAAATATCAAAAGGAGAAGTTAGTCTGTTTTTGTTGATCTGTAGATTGGCTGAAATCGTTGGATATTTTTTAAGGAACCATTTTGGAAATACGAAATACATCATTGGTAATCGCTCCTCTAGCTTCCCAACATAAGTCTTCCGAAAGGCGCCAAATCTGAGACCATGGTCACTAAAGAATATCAAAACGGTATTGTTTAGAAGGCCTTCGTAATGGACGGATTTTAACCACGCGACATAAGGATCGTCTGCCCTTAAGGCATCTTTCATTGCATCATGAGTCAGTCTGGAATTAAATGAATATGAAAAATGTGGCTGATTACGATATTTTCGCATGAAATTGTGAACGTAATCTAGGAGGATGGTAGTTTCAGGACGATCATGAACACAGTGATGGCCAGAATTCCAGACTGAACTTTCGTCCTCCATAGCTTTAGCAAATGGACGGTAATAATGCAGGCTTGGAGGTTTGAGGAATCCAAATTTCAGATAATTAAAGGTAGCTATATTAGGAGCGTCTTCTGCATAGAGTGTTGGATATCCGTTATTGTTGAAATTCTTCCATATGAAATTGTATTTATCGAATGGTTCTCTAGACAAGGTTTCATTCCATGGTAACTCTTCTAAAAATCGACCAGTAGTAAGTGGAACAACATTAACAAATGTATTATCGGCTACCTTGGTATAGCCTTTAAGTTCAATAGCAGATAAATTGTTCAGAAGATAATCGCGGGCTTTAGGCATCGATCTCATATGATTAAGTCGTGACAGTGAATCAATTCCAATCATAACAACATTCAAATGTTCTTTTGACCTTGCTTTTTCAGCCTCAAAGTTTTTTTTCAGTTTTTTAATTGCGTCAGTTTTAGAGATCAAAAATGCATGGAAGTTTTTATAAAATGGTTCAGTACTTTCTTTCGTAAAGCAGCTTATGCTCAAGAATTCGTCCTTGACCTCAATATCTGAAGTGAAGTTTACCGCCTCCGACATGAATATTTCGGAATCCGATTTCTCTTTTCTGTGAATAGATTTATATTCACAATGTGAAAACTTTAAACCGTATTTATCTTTAATGACGTCCATCTTGATTCGAAGGTAATTCATTTCCTGAAAAGTAATCGACGGTGTACCAGAGCATTTCAATTTGTTAACCTTTATATTACCCGAGCCGTCGAATGTAATAAACGTCTTGACAGCGGGAGTAAAGGGGTCTACATCAGGGATAGCACATGCATCCGTATTAACTAGGAAACCTCTCCTTTCTTTAAGGCTTGGGGTAAAGTTGACCACTTGAGCAATAGTACGATGCGACCACGATGATCCTAGTAATATTGTAAACAATGATGCAGCTACCATCAAAATCAATATATTCCTTCGAATAGCTCTACTTGTAGTTAAAACCCTGAAAGACAAAAAGAAGCACACTTTAAGATAAAGGAGTTTGGGCTTAAAAATTTGGAGGCTGAACATATCTGTACAGAAACTTGTAGCTTTTATGTTATACGACTGCCCTGTCATAGAGTTGAAAACAAATTGAGTGTGTAGTGGGCATGCCAGCCTCCTGAGACTGGGGACAGACTGACTTAGTGGGGTGACCGCAATCTAGGTTGAATTCTATATTCGACAGCTTTTATATTGATAATAAGATTGACATCGTCAAATTACTGATGGCAAGTGAAGTTACTTCTTGACCATCTTCAGAATGTAATGAATACGGCTTCATTGAGGGGGTAATTTTAGATTTAATCCTTTTTTTTCCAAACTGTGAATTTATGACACGAGAAAAGCTGAAATAAACTCTTAACAACAAATAGAATGTACATTTATACTATAAGTTTACCATAATCCTCAAATTAATTATTTAAGATTTTACAAGCCAATTGTTATTCTTGATTATACTATTATAATAATCCAATTATCTATTAACCATGCGTGTCCTTCGATAGACCATACTTTTACACGTAGCATTGTGAGTACTCAATAATAAATACATGTTACTTTTTGTTTGGAACTCTCGTGTTCAATAAATCAAAAAAAATTTCGATTCGGTCCCATCGTTTAGATGAATGTCTGAACAAAGGAAGGTTGGATTATTTAAAAGCAATTGTCAAATAGCAGTTTGAAATTATTACTTTGTACCTAATGTAAATCGAACTTCTAAAAATATGTTAAAGGGATATAGGCGTTTAATAATGTCCTTTCTCGACCGACAGAATAGAATTTCATTTGACATCTAGTTCGTCTTCAATTAATCTATCTTAATAATGACCGTTTTCAAAAACAAATGTAAGCAAATGAAAGTCATATACAAAGGTTACCCAATCCAATTGAATTAAATGAGAACAAAAAGTAAGAATGATTTTACAATGTTTACAAAACTTGATTATTTTGTGTTCAAAAAAGAGTTTTAAAAAATTGACAACAGCTGAGTTAAGTTGTGTAAATTATTATGATCCGTACTGCAAACATATCAAATTGATCAGTAAGTTGTGTACCAAGTAAAGAAGGAATGTAAGAAGATAACCTATATTCTTTGTGCTATATATTAAAAGATTTGCTGCGGACTAAAGTAGTATCATGTTTCATAAATGGAACGGTCATTAAACAAACACAGACCTAAACCTCACAAGTACAAATCATCGATTTTCTTCTGTACAGTTTAAAACTTGACTAAAACAATACAAGAGCAATAAATGGTACAAATAAGCAATATATACGTAGTTGTTTTTAGGAATTGGTGGAAGGCAGCGGAAGCTTTAGGGCCTGGTTACATGTGGCCGATTAGCCCGGTGAGCTGAGCTGACTCGGTTTTCCGGGTAACTCGACGTCTGACGTCACTGTAGTTAATTTGTACGGATTTACTCAAATGCATTAATATGGAAGGCGGGTCAGCCCGAGCAGCCGGGCGGTCTGTAGACCGGGAAGCCCGGATATCAGGGCCAACTCGGTATTCATATAAACACGTTTTAACGGGCTAGCCCGTGATCCTGAGTCAAGCACACTTTTATTAACCAACATGACTATTAAAACGTGATACGGATGTCGGAGTTGCTCCGATGCATTATGGAACCGGTTTTTTGACAAAAGGCAAATTTGACATAAATTTTGAATCTATACAAACTCAACCATTAATGAGTCCCATCAAGACATTATCGAATATTCTACGATGTCCTTGTTCCCGGAACGATACCACAATACAGTCGAGGAGTAGGCTTTCCCTTTCTTCGTACATCCCTATCCTACTATCCTACCCCTGCATTGTAGTACCCTGTGATATTGCCATAGCACAAGTGATAGCTATAATCGCAACTGACCCTATGTCTTTCGAAATGTACAAAGTTAAAGCTGGAAAATTATCAATATGCGCGGTAAGTGCAATAAACTGGTCAAAATTATGTCTTTACTGCTTTGTTTTCGTACTTTCAAAAAAAGTATGAGTTTGTGTCGAGTACTCTGCAGAAACAGTAATAGTTACAGCAACATTAGCAATGCATTGGATCTGCATATTCGGTGTTTTAACTAATGAATATAAATTGGGACAATTTTGCATAACGGATAGTGACACATTGGACATGTGCAAAAAGTAGATAATTGTCTCTAGAAAGCGCAATTTTGGAGCGATTTTGCTCGGGTTTTCAGTTTTAGAATTTCCCCCGAATATTCTATGTGATAGCAGTTGAAAAAATTCCAATTTTGAAAATTCATAGCACACATATTTTAGCCGAAAATCAAGGTGCTAGCTTCCGTTTGACCCACTTCCGTATTTTATGTATTAAGGTCACTACTAGGCCCCTAAGAAGTAGATAACGTAATGACGTTTGGCCGTCATTTTGATTTTTCTGAAATTATTCAAAATTTTATTCAGAGATTACGGCTTATCCGATTTTGATGACTTTCGCCTCAAATGAAAGAACACAAAAATTTCAGAAAACTGTAGGAAGCCGATTTTTGAATTTCGTTTTTGCTTTTTTGCAATTTCAATTTGCAATTTTTTCGAAATTTGAAGGCTCATATCTCGTGACCTTGACCATTACTGAGCTTCATATATACCATGATGATAATAGCTGACCTTGACCTTCTTATGACCTTTTGACCTTTGGAGTCAAACCATAACCTTCGGTTTTATAGGGGTCTAAATATGGCCTATTTTGCACTTTTGCAGTGCTGTATCTCAATCCCTAATTGATTTAGCGCCCTACCACCTTCAGATTATTGATGTACTTATTTAATGGTTTCAAATAATACGGCACCTGATGATGTCAAAGCCATATTAAAAAAAATGTCGCAATTTTCATAGAACTTTGAACGCTTCTATCTCAAGAGCTGTACCTTGGATGATGTTGATATTTATAGCAATAATCAATATTGACTACAGCTTTTAGATGATGTTAATATTTTCCAAGGCCGATACGTGATTCCGGTTTTATGGGTGTCACTAAAAGTTGAGTTTGCAGCTTTAAAGCCTTCTAACATGTTACCTAATAGAGATAGAGCAATATTATTTTCGGATTCAGAATGCTGGGATCCTGAGCTTTCCAGAGACATATAACATGTATGCCTTGCATGCAAATTCAAAATCCCATTCACTTAACATGGTGCAATTATTGTAATCTAAATACGTTGTCATCGATCTGTCAACATTAATGCCAGATCTTCATCTTAAAGACACACTCCCTTTTATTTTTCTTTAATATGTTTTATGTCCAGTTATGAGATATAATTAAACTCTGGGATGGATTAAACCGCGTATACTGTAAGTTGGGCTTATGGAAACACCGTTACATATAACAAGGCCCTTAGACTTATGCTTGCTGAAGTAAATTCTATATTTTAAATCCAAGCCGGACAAAATAATGCAACGAAGGAAAATTAACAAGATAGGTTCACTTTTTCCATTTCCAATTTGATAATATATATGACTTTAAAAATGACGTTTCAATTCCTGCTTTTTACTGAGTGAGGTCTCAAAGAAAATTTTCTTTAATGATTAATGAAGTTTAAAGTTTATTATGCTTTTTGAAAGCTGTTAGAAAACTGATGTACGGATTTTATAAAATAAACGTCTAATTGTACTGAAAAATGCCTTCTATGTTTTCCAAACGTTTATTATAATATCGTGTCATTATACAGCCAAACACCTCACGATATTCAATATGTTGGCGAAACTCAAAATGCGTTGAAAACCCGTGTAATGGTCATCAGCAAAGATAGACCTATTGCGAAAAATTTCAACCTTCCGACCACTCCATTGATGGCCTCCTGATTATGCCTATCGAATCTGTAGCAGCTATTCCCAATATCACGCCCGGAAATTATTGGATGGACCAACTCAGCACAGCATATTTTAACGGATTGAATATCCAGCATGATAACCAAATTATAGCATTCATAGTAACATATAATAACACTGCGACAAATGCATCAGTAATTGTAAAGAGACACATTATAGGAACCTTCAAGAACAATACCTCCATGTGTCCACCAAGAAACTCGTGACGGTCAAATAAGCGAAACAAAAAACTGAGTTGTCATTTAGTTTATAACAGACTTGACCCCCGACCTCCCGCTCTCCCTCCCAGATAACTTTCTGAACATTTTCACTTTATCATTTAGTACGCTTGATATTATTTTTACTGCTTTGGATTTAGAAAAATGAACTGTATTGTTGGCCTATTGATTTTAAGTTCTATATATTAATCATTTTCTTCTTGTTGCGTAGGACTTATAAGAAGAGAAGCTTTTGTATACAGAATGTTTATTGTTTACAGATATATATATATATATTTACAATTTGCTTTCAGGTTATGGTGAACTAAATTTAACAGCACTTTAAGAAATATATAGCTCTAACATCATGACCTGTGCTTTTTATGGGAATTCTATTCTCGTAACACCCTAACACTAACACCAAAACTAAGATAAACTGCTAAGTACTTTTAATTAACCTATTTAAAATCAAATTCATCATGAATATAATTAGCATATTTTAG